ATAGTCAGTAAAACACAAGTAGACATCTTTCTCGTATTCTTTGCTTTCAGCTAAGATCCATCTTACATCAGCAATGGTTATCCCTTGTCGCACATCCTCTTCTGTATCCAGCTTGCATTTCTGGAAGTCCTCTGTCAATATACTGCTGCAATTGTTTTGGAATTATCTTCAGCAAGACTTTACTTGTGTATGATATTAATGATATCATTAGATAATTTCCACATTCTGTGGGATCACCTTTCTTTGGAATGGGTACAGATATGAATCTCTTCCAGTCAGTTGGCCAAGTAGCTGTCTTCCAGATTTCTTGATATACATGAGTGAGTACCTTCAACATGGCATCCGTTTGTTGAAACATCTCTTATTTTAACACTCTACTTTCTAGTTTTTCTTATTACCATTTAGAAAATTACTTTTTACCTTTCACAGTCTATTCTTCTGCCAGCCTCTTAAATATTGGTGTTCCCTAGAATTTTGCACATGGTCATTTTCTCCTCAGTGTATAGGTTCTTCCTGAACCATTGGATACTTTCATGACTTTAGTACCATCTAAATGCCTAATGTCTCCTTAATTTTTATCTTTATCCTAGACTTCTCTCATGTACTCACAGATAATTAATTACACCTATATTTTCCATGGCTAAGATCAAAGCAGGCAGCTCTGGTGGTATAGTGCCTAAGGCATTTGACTGCTAACCAGAAGGTTGATGGTTCAAACCTACCAGCTGCTCCATGGAAGGAGGACTGGGCAGTCTGCTAAGAGGAAAGCAAGATTGCTCATATGGTTACCTTCTGTCCAACTCCATACTTCCATTCTTCCAGTCTCAATTAATGGCATCAACATCTATCTAACTGCTCATGTACTTTTTCTGTGTAACTGCCCAATAAATAAATCCATGACCAAATTTTGTTTTTCTTCCAAGATTAGTTTCCTGTTCTTTATCCCTGTTGCATTTCCTTAATATAGGTGTCCGTCTCTTGAATTTGTCTCTTCTTTTTAACTGCTTAAAACACTCTACTCTTCTGGAGCATTGCTTCTGAAATACAAGTCAGGTTGTGTGTGATACCTCCAGGACTTATATTAATCTCCTTATTGGTCCCTCTTTATTGAGAGAGGGTTTGTTGTATGTACCCTAGAAAGTGCTCATGACAGTCCTTATCATTGTGGGGTATCTAGAAGATTACAGAAAGCTTATTTATAATAACTTTATATATATATAAAACTAAAAAACATGGTAAGCTTTATCCAGTAATATATTAACTAACAGTATATGTACATATGTTATAAATACTATAAATACAAATAATTAGGGCATGAGGATATTTATACTAATTGTGTGATACTTCCAAGGTCTAAGAAGAACTTAGGACCATAGTACTCAATTCTCCATAATATTTTGTTTCAAATTCTCAACAGTAGCCATGATGAGTTTCTAGAAGTATTTTACATGTCACCTGTTTCTGAAGACTGATCAAAAATGTATTTTTATAGGCATCAGTGTCATTCAAGGATGTGACTGTGGAGTTCACCCAAGAGGAGTGGAAGCACATGAGCCCTGCTCAGAGAATCCTTTATAGAGATGTGATGCTGGAGAACTACAGCCACCTCATCTCAGTGGGTGAGCAGACTTTGCTACGTAACTCTGTAGAATGCAGTTCTCCTCCTTGACTGCTACTTTTTTATCCTATGTTTTACTTCCTGTTCTCTTTTGATTGGTGTTGGTTTATTAGAATGTCTTAACAAATTATCATCAACTGGTGGCTAAAAACAACAGAAATTTATTCTCCTACAGTTCTGGAGACTAGAAGTCCAAAATTAAAGTGTTGGTAAGGCCGTGTTCCCTCTGAGGATTCTATGGAAGAAACTTGCCTTGTCTATTCCTAGCTTCTGGTGATTTCTAGCAGTCTTTGGCATTCCTTGGTTTATAGGTGCATCACTCCAATTTCTACTTCTGTCTTCATATGTTTCTGTGTGCTTTTCTTCATCTCCATATCTTTCTCTCCTTATAAAGATATAATTTAGATATCTTATAAAGATATCATTTAGATACCCATATACAGTATGAGCTCATCTTAATTAACTTCATTACATCTCCTAATTTTCAAATAAGGTCACATTCACAGACCTTGGGTGCTAAGACTGAACACATCTTTATGTTCAAGAATTGTGGAACACAGTTATGTCCACTAAGTTATTGATCAACTTTTCTCCTGTTTGAGGGTCATATGTACCTACTTTGCATACCAGGTAATTTTGGATTGGATGCTGGATGATGTGAATTTTAATTGTTGGTTTGTGGATGTGTTGAATTCTTTAAAATATTTTTGTACTGTTTCTGGAATATTAAGTAAGTTACTTGGAATTAGTTTGACCATTTGTTTTAAAGCTTTGTTATGTTAGATTCAGATCAGCTTTTAGTCTAGGATTAATTTAAAGGTCCATTTAATAAGACAGTGCCCATTATGTTATTTTACTGCATTCTTGGACTGTTAAAGAGATTTTTCTATTCTAGTCCCACCCGTGTGTGTAATTTGGTGAATTTTCAGCCTACTTTGTTGTTGTGTGCTATTGTCAATTCTGACTCACAGTGACCCTATATGACAGAGTAGAACTTACCCATAGTTTCCTGGCAATAATGTTTATAGGAGAAGATCATCAGGCCTTTTCTTCAGTGCAGCCACTGGTGGGTTTAAGCCACTGACCTTAGCAGCTAAACATTTAACCATTGACTGCAAGGCTCCTTCAGCCTATTCTATTCTGGGGCTTTTTCCACCAACTTTTGGTGGTTTCCTTGCATTGTTGAACGAGTTAGTACTCTGTGGAAGATTCACAGGAAGATCTTTCTGCAGATCCCTTTGGCTCTTCCTTAGTATAGTTCTTCTCCAGGATTTCGTCCCACAAATTTCAGTTGTCTTGGACTTCCTAAACTCCCAGCTCTAGTTCCTCAACCTGTTGAGATTGTCAGGTTCTCCTTTAACTTTCTTTCTATTCTGTGGCCTGGAAACTCTTCAGGCTGTAAGCTATGGCAATCATGGGACTCACCTAATTTGTTTCTCTTTTCTTAGGAATCCCTGCCCTGCACTGCCTGTTGTTTAATTTTGTATGGTTATCAGTTGGACATGGCAAGGTAAATTGGTCCCTGATACTTCATCATGGCTAGAAGTGTAAGTCCCTTGTAGACCCTCTTGTAAAACCCAGTATACTTGGACTGTTACTAAAATTTAATGTTAGTTAGGGTTGAGATTCAGGGAATAAGGAAATTTATTTCTTTTTCACTTCATCCCCAAAAGGGTCAAATTATTATATTTAATGTGCAGCAACTGAAGCTATACCTTCTTTCCCATTCATAAGTACCAAAGCCCATTACCTGATCCAAATCCTAAATCATTGATTATTTTCAGGGCATTGCTTTTCAAAACCAGACGTGATCTACAAGCTGGAGCAAGCAAAATATCCATGCTTATCAGAGGAAGACTTTCTAAACAGGGGCTACCCAGGTGAGTTAATTAATATTAACAGAAGGTGTTCAGAAGAAATTGAATCCACAGTGATCAGTTAGAAGCAGGTGCTTTTAGAACCCTTTTTATTTGGAAGTTTATAAAGAATAGATCCAATAAAATATTGAAAGTAAAAGTATAACTTAGATGATGCAGTGTAACCATGTTGATTTTCTCATCTTCAGAACCTGAAACAACAACAAACCAAACCAAACTCACTGCTGTCGAGTTGGATATGACTCATAGTGACCCCTCCTTGGGTTTCCAAGGCAGTATCACTATGGAAGTAGATTGCCCAGTCTTCCTTCTGAGGAGTAGCTGGTGGGTTTGAGCCACCAGCCTTCTGGTTAGCAGTCAAATGCCTTAGGCACTATGCCACCAGAGCTCCTAAAAGCTCCAAAAGCTGAGGTCCCAAATAAAATTTTTATAGCCCATAAATCAAAGAATAGAGTTAAATTTAATAGAAAATGATAAAAAAAAAAAAAAGTCATGAAAGCAACTCAAATTTGGGGTTAAAGAATTGGAAAGGAGAGAGAGAACATAGTGTTGTCATTGGTTATCTACTATGGAACTACTGTTGTTGTTAAGTGCCATTAAGTCCATTTTCAACCCATAGCAACAGATACTTTCTCAGTAAATGATTAATGAAGTAGATGTTTATAATTACAAAGGTATCTAATAGAGCAAAGTACAACCATACTAATTATTGGAAGAAAAATGTACTTAACAAAATCAGACCCATAAAGCTCAGCATATTCCAACATAAAGTAAGACAAACATATCTGCCATATCAGCTGTCAGTGTACAACACCAATAAGAAGTATTGCTATCGTATTGTACCAAAGAGATACACCTAAAAATTATATGGAAAACTTAGTATATAAAATAGTAAATTAACAAACCAATAAGCTTAGAAATAATTCAGGGGTCTTTTTTCTATTACTCAAGATTGAATTCAGGCAAAACATACCAAATTAAAAAAAAGATGTCTTTATTTCCTAGGGCTTCTGTAACAAAATGCCATAAATGGATTGTTTTAAACAAACAAACAAGAAAATACTGCCTCAGAATTCTGTAGATTTGAAGTCCAAATCAGAATATTGGCCATGTTGAGTCTGAGTGAGGGACTGTTTCATGCCTTTCTCCTAGACTCTGGTGGCTGCCTGCATTCCTTGGCACTACTTTGCTGCTTGTAGATGTATCTTCACCTGCCACCCTTCCCTGTGTGTGTTGCTCTGTTTCCATATCTCATCTCTGCTTTTGTAAGATACCATTGAATAAATACTAGGACCATCCAACTCTAGTGTGATGTCTTGAACTTAACTGCTGTCTTCAAAGAAAGTCCCCATATCCAAACAAGGGTGACATTCACTAGAGTTTAGGATTTCAGCATATATTTCAGCATATTCTTTTGGGGGACACAAATATATAACAGATGTCATTTGAATAATAAGTATAAAATAATGACCATTTTTAAAGGACAGAATAAAAATTTTGTGCACCAAATAGATATCATCAAGATCCATTAGCAACAATTGTAAATAAGGAGAAATAGAAACACATTAAATATAATAGACCTTGATTTATTTCTGTAGGTTTATACCAAATATAATGGACAACAGCTGAGAGTCTGGAATGGATTGGCAAGCTGTAGCCTTTGGGCCATGTCTGAGTTGTTACCTGTAGATTTTTAGAGCTCAGCAATGCCAGTTCTTTTAAATATAGTAAATTTCTCTCATGCAACAACAGCAGAGCAGATTAGAGACAGGGACCATGTAGCTTGCAAAGCCTAAAATGTTTTCTTTCCTGACATTACAAAGATTATTTATTGACTTCTACTTTACAATAATGTTTTTCAGCTGATTGTTTTTTTTACCCACTAGGAGACTTTAAATAATTAAAAAATGTTAGCTTCATATGCTATTTTTAATTTTCTAATTTTTAGAAGACTGCCAACTTGATGACTGGTTAGAGAAGAGCCTAGGAAACCAAGACAAACATCTGTGGCAAGTTTTATTCACCAATAAGATATTGACCACTGAGCAAGAGAAAATATCAGGAAAACCACGTAAACTGGACATAGATATATTTACTTCAAGAAAAATGCCCTGTAAATGTGACACTACAGTGCCTACTTACAAGAATTTCATATCATTGGTTCCACATTATAGTTCTTCAAGAAAGAAAGATGATGAGTTTAAAGCATGTGCAAAATGTCTCACTGTTAGAAATGAGAGAATGAATACTGGGGAGAGTTGTTTAGCTTACAATCAGAATGTGAAAACATTTAGTCAGGAGGAGGAGTGTGTTCATCATTGGTCAGTGCAGACTTTTGGGCAAACTTTTGAGAATAATGAAGATGGAAAAGCCTTCCATGAGAAAGCAGCTTTCATTACACCTAAGAGTGACCATACAAAACTAAAATCCTATGCTTATAATAAATTTGGTAAAACTTTATGTGAATCTACCCTTGATATATCTCAGAGCATTCACACAAAAGAGAAGAATGAATATGAATTTAATGAAAATGAATGTAACAAAAATGGGGATAATTTCATTAGTATCACTCAACTTCACAGAAAAGACCCAGAAAGGAAAATGTCTATCAAAAAATCCGACCTCAGAGGACATCAGACAGGTCACACAGAGGTGAAAATACTTGAATGTGGAAAAAGCTTCAACCATAATTTAGCCCATATTATACATCAGAAAATTCACACAGCAGCAAAATCCTGTGTTTATAACAAATGTAGAGAAACTGTTAAATACCAGTCAGCCTTAAAACTCCATCAGAAAATTCATACAAGGGCAATACCCTATGAATGCAAAGAATGTGGAATATCTTTCTCTAGGATGTCATACTTCATTTTCCATACAAAAACTCACACCAAGAAAAAACACTGTGAATGTAATGGATGTGGGAAAACTTTCAGGAAAAATTCAGAACTAAAGAACCATCAGAAAACTCACCTGGGGGAGAACTCTTTTGAATGCAATGAACATGGGAAAGCTCTCAAGCAGAAGTCATACCTAAACAAACATCAGAGCACACACACAGGTAAGAGGCCTTATAAATGTGAAGAGTGTGGGAAATCCTTCAGCTGGAAGTCACGCTTCAGTGAACATCAGAAAAGTCACACAGGGGTTAAACCGTATAAATGTAATGAATGTTGGAAAAGTTTCAGGTATAAGTCAGACCTAAGAAAACATGAGAGAACTCACACAGGTGAGAGACCTTATGTATGTGGTGCGTGTGGGAGATCTTTTAGCAGGAAGTCAAACCTCACTCTACATCAGAGAATGCACACAGGGGAGAAACCCTTTAAATGTAATGAGTGTGGGAAAACTTACAGTGATAAATCAGCACTAAGAAAACATCAGAGAACTCACACAGGAGAGAAACCCTATAAATGTGATGAATGTGGGAAAGGTTTCAGCCAAAACTCAATTCTCAGAAGTCACCAGAGAACACACACAGGGGAGAAGCCTTATGAATGTAATGAATGTGGGAAAGGTTTCAGCCAGAGCTCAATCCTCAGAGGTCATCAGAGAACTCACACAGGGGAGAGACCTTATAAATGTGATGAATGTGGGAAATCTTTCACCTGCAAATCATATATCAGAATTCATCAGACAATTCACACAGGGGAGAAGCCCTGTAAATGTGATGCATGTGGGAAAGGTTTCAGGAATAAGTCAGAGCTAACACAACATCAGAGATCTCATACAGGTGAGAGACCCTATATCTGTGATAAATGTGGGAAATCTTTTCACTGGAAGTCAAACCTTACAGTGCATCAGAGAACTCACACAGGAGAGAAACCCTTTGAATGTATTGAATGTGGAAAAGCTTTTAGCAGAAAATCAAGAGCAATGAGACATCATAGAATTCACACAGGAGAAAAACCTTATGAATGTAATGAATGTGGGAGAGCTTTCAGAGAGAAATCACACCTTAGAGGTCATCAGAAAACACACACACGGGAAAAACCATATAAATGTGATAAATGTGGGAAAACTTTAAGCTCTAAGTCAACCCTCAGAGTCCATCAAAGAATGCATGCAAATTATAAGCCCTAAAATGGTAATGAAAAATTTCCACTGTCAATCAGATTTCAGATTATATATCAGAGAACACACACAGGAAAAAAACTCTATGAAATGTATAAAGTGTTTAACCCAGAAGTCATCAGAGAACTCCCACATGGGAGAGACTTTAAACACATGGTGAATGTTTGAAAACTTTCAGCCAGAAGTTATATCTGGGAAATCATCAGCAGACTTACATAGGTCATAAATGTTATGAATATGGGAAGTAGTAGCTGGAAGTCAACTCTCTTTACTACATTAAAAGAAACCTTTGAATGTAGTGAATGTGGAAAAACTGCCAGAGTCAGGGTGAGAAAAGATCAAATAATTCATATAGGTGAAAAACCTATAAATAAGATTTATGTGGAAAGTTCCTGTTCAAGAAATAACCTCTCACTGCATCTAAGTGAACACCCAGGAGAAAAACCCAATGAATGTAATGAATATAGGGCAACATTCCACAGAAAGTCAAACCTCCCATTTTTACCTACCCAGGAAGGAAAGCTGATGAAGGTAATATAGGAAGTACTATGAATGCAAGCATCAGAAAACTCACATTGCACAGCAGCCTTCAGAAAGTAATGCATGTGTGTAAGCATTCTGCCAGAAATCACAACTCATTGAACATCAGAGGAATCACAGTGAAGACACCTAGAATGCAGTATGTGTGTGATGACTTTTAACTGGAAGCCAGCTTTCTCAGTACAGTAGAAAATATATAGAGGGTATGGATACCATGGTGTATCAAAACACACAAAATCAATCTTGGGAAGATCAAGGATGTGGGGCATCCTCCATACCAGAGATCACCTTTCAACTTGACTTGCTCACTGGTAATTTCCTCACTAGTAATGTCATATATTGACTAATTTCATACCAATACCCATTTTCTATTCTCCCTCAGCTCATACTATTTAAATTTCACAGCTACTTCTTTCAAATGGGATATGTCACTAATTTCTGGCTAGTGGAATGTGGAAGTCTGTGATAAGTCCCATAAAGGACACCTCTTCAAATCCTTCATGTTCTGTGCTTTTCCTCATTAAAATGGAATATAAATTACTAGGAGACCTTGGGACTCATGAAGAGAAGATGAAAGGACACATAATGGAAGAAGCCAGGGTCCAAGCTGAGGAACAGTTTTCCCTATGTAAAATGTTATTAATATGGAAATAACTTATTTTTTACTGAGTTTTTTTTTCAGATTTTACTCTACTAGTTATATAGTCATCTCTCAGTTAATAGAACATATGTGTATGGCTTGTGTTTGAAGTCAGCACTCAGTGTGTAACAGAAAAACCACATGGAAGAAAGTCTTGACCACATCCAAATCATTATTGTTAGGTGCTGTCAAGTCGGCTCCAACTCATAACTACCCTATGTACAGCAGAACGAAACACTGCCTGGTCATGCAACCACCCTCTCAATCTCTTCTATACTTGAGCCCATCATTGCAGCCACTGAATCAGTCTATCTTGTTGAGGGTCTTCCCCCTTTTCTCTGACCATCTACTTTACCATGCATGATATCCTTCTCCAAGGAATGGTTCCTTCTTACAACATGACCAAAGTAGGGGAGACAATATCTTGGCCATTCCAAGGAACATGCTGGCTGTACTTCCAGGAAAGGTTTGTTCATTAAAAATGATACATTAATAACAGTGGAGAAGTCCAATATTTGAGCAGATAAACAGGACATTCCTTACCAAACAATACTAAATATCAGGTAACTAAGATTATGAATATTCTGGATATGTGGAAGTTTTCAAAGTATTCTGAGGGAACTATATCAGTTTGGAAAATGTATGTAGAAACATTTATCTAGAGATGGTTGTATCAAAGTTCTTTATATGTAATGTCAAAACTTCTAATAACACTGCAAAATATTCATACACAGTTTTTGAAAAATCAGGAAAAAGTCCACTAAAAGAACTAGAGCATTAAATGTATATGTGAATATTCCTTGGGCTTTGTAGTACTTGTCTATGTATGCATGCATGCCAACAACTGTTAGATGATGGCGCCCACATTGTCGTAGAAGGAATTATGTACTCTATATTCAATAACTATTACGACTTAAGCTTATCTTTTCCATATAACTCTTGACCAATAAACCATTTTTGGGAAATACTTGGAAAATTCAAAGTGCCTTTTCTCATCCCCTTTTTCCTGTTCTCTTCTGGAGTTTGTGTATGGGAAAGGCCATTGCTACTGAGTGGTCTCTTTAGCAGAGAAGCCAAACACTGTTTTCTGTAAACTTTTGTATTGTTTCCAGGTCAGCAATGCAGTTAGTGTTGGTTGTTGTTGTTGTTGTTATGTGCCGTCGAGTCGGCCCCGACTCATAGCGACCCCTCCTTGGGTTTCCGAGGCAGTATCACTACAGAAGTAGGATTGCTCAACCTTCCTTCCAAGGAGTGGCTGGTGGGTTTGAACCGCCAGCCTTCTGGTTAGCAGTCAAGTGCTTTAGCCACTATGCTACCAGAGCTCCTTTAACAGTATATAAAATATTCAAGTCACATACATAGCTATTAAAGGAATGAGCCTGGTTAATTTTTTAAGGGCACCTGTGACAGTGGTGCTTAGTAAGAAAATAATCTCAATCCTCCATATATCAGACAGTGTTTCATTACTATTCATAAGGTTGCAGTGGCCAGTTCTTTCAGAAATGGATTGCCCTGTCCTTCCCAGTCTGTCTTAATATGGAAGGTGTCCTCCATATTCTTTATATGCTTCAATGAAGTGCCTGCATAGCTTGATCATGTTGATTGAATTGTGAACCCCCAAAACATGTTGAAGTCCTAATCCCTGGTACTTCTGAATGTGACCTTATTTAAAAATAGGGTCTTTGAAGATGTTGTTTAAGTTAACATGAGAGCAAACTGGAGAGAATAGGTCCTAATCCATTATGAGTGGTGTTCTTAGAGAAGAGACAGACAAACAGAAGGACAGTCATGTGAAGATGAAATTATGTAATGTCAAGGGTAGCCTTTCATCACCAGAAGATAGGTGAGAGGCTGGAAGAGATTCTCTCACAGCTGTCAGAGGAATCAACATGGCAGATACCCCGTTGCCAGAGTCCTAGCCTTCCTTACTTTGAGACGAACTTCTGTTCCTGTGAGCTACTCATTTTGTGGTACTTTACTATGGCCATCCTAGGAAAATTATAATATTGGGTTGTGTAAATTCTAATTATCTGTAACATGCAGTATCTACATTTGTGCTCTCTTACGAGAGTGTCATATAGTGTCTTCTTTTTTCTTACAGGTCTTGGTGATATAACATAATGGTTGATAACATGTACTTGCAGCTAGACTCCCTAAGCTGAAATCCTAGATCCCTGTGGAATATTGGATAGGACATTGAAACTCAGTACTTTAGTATCCCCACCTGCAAACTGGGGATCATATCACATCATAAAGTTACTATAATGTTTAAATGTATTTATCTAATGCAAATAGAAAAATGCCCAGCACATGGCTTGTGTTGTATGTTTTTTTCAATTACCACCACCATCATCATTTCTTAAATTTACATTAAAAAATGGTAGTTGTGTATGATGAAAAAACTACATGACAGCTATTTGTCAGTTCAGCAATATTTACACATATAATTCAGTGACACCGATTACATACATAATGTGCAGTCTTCACTACTATCCTTTCCAAATTACTCCACCACCATTAACAGAAAATCAGTGCTTAAGCAATGACTCTCTCTTTCCCCCTTCCTCCCACCCATTAATACATTTTGGTTTCCATGCATTAGCCTATTGCATATAAGTGCGATCATACAGTATTTGTCCTTCACACAACCTAATGTTTTCAAGCTTCATACATGTAGTATTTATCAGGATTTCTTTTTTCTATGTTGTTAGGTGCCATCGAATTGATTCTCACTCGTAGCGACTGCATGCACAACAGAACAAAACACTGACCACCATCCTCACAAGAAATATTACACTGTATGTAAATACAGCATTTTCTTTATCCACTTATCTGTCGGTGGACATTTAGGTGGTTTCGGCTATTGTGAGGGAGCTCTGGTGGTGTAGTGCCTAAGGCATTTGACTGCTAACCAGAAAGCGGGCAGTTTAAACCCACCAAATATTGTGAATGAACATTGGTGTACAAGTTTCTGTTGCATTCCTGTTTTCAATTCTTTTAGTTATATACCAGCATTGCAACTGATGGGTCATATCATTGTTCCATGTTTAACTTTTTGAGGAGCTATCAAACTTTTCTACATAGGCATACCATTTTGTAGTCCCACCAGCAATGGATGAGGGTTCCAGTTTCTTCATGTCCTCACCAACATCTATTGCTTTTATATTTTTTTGTTTTCATCATAGCCATCTTAGTGGGGATGAAGTATCTCACTGTAGTTTTCTCTCATACCTCCCTAATGATTAATGAAGGAGCGCAACTTGGGCAGTGTTTAAAGCATTTGGCTGCTAATCAGAAGTTCAGCTGTTTGAATCCACCTGCTACTCCTCAGGAGAAATATGAGGTGGTCTGCTTCCTTAATGACTTATAGCCTTGGAAAACCTATTGGGAAGTCCTGTAGGGTCACTATGAGTGTGGAATTGACTTGATGGCTGTGGGTAATAAGTAATGGAAATGAAATGATTGAAAAGACCATGGCTTGGGGCAGGCACACCTTCATCTTCAAAGTGACATCTTTGCTTTTAAAATTTTAAAGAGGTCTTTTGCAGCAGCTTTTCCCAAAGCATTGTTTGTTTTCTTGACTGCTGTTTCCATGGGCTTTGAATGTTGATCCAAGGAGAATGAAATTCTTGGCAACTTCAATTTATTCACCATTTATCATGATGTTATGTATTGGGCCAGTTGTGAGGATTTTTGTTTTATGTTCAGGTCTAATCCATACTGAAAGCTGTTATCTTTGACCTTCGTCAGTGGGTGCTTCAAGTTGTCTCCATATACTACTCTACCCTATAAGGTCACTATGAGTCAGAACCAACTTGATGGCAGTGGG